ACTCGGTACCCACTGACCAATACATAACAAAGAGACTGACAAGGCTAATTAATGTGAACACACACAGGCACACACTCCAGTTCCTCACTTCATCCAAAACACTTCCCAGCATTTGGAACCACTGTTTTTATTTCCTTTATTTCCGGTTTACTCAAACATCCTTTATAATTTAACTTTATTTTAAAAATATTTTTACTGAGGTTTTATGCATTTCATACAACAGTTCTTCATCAAATTAAGACCCCTTCCGTACCCATGCCTCCACACCACCTCCACCAGGCATCATGCATTCTGGCATACATGTTAAGTTCAATCCAGTCAAGCATTTTACCCAGTTTCCTTCAGTGCAATTCATCCACTGGAGTCTAGTCAGCCTATCTAGACATCTTAAGGAACGTTACATGTTAAGTTCAATCCAGTCAAGCATTTTACCCAGTTTCCTTCAGTGCAGTTCATCCACTGGAGTCTAGTCAGCCTATCTAGACATCTTAAGGAACGTCTCCTCTCCCTCACCCAGCAGTAATCAGTCTCCAACAGTCTTCAGACTAGGCCTGATCCATTGCCCATTTTCTTCACTTCACTCTGATTATGTGGGCATGTGGAAGTAGCTATGCATAGACCATCTCTTTTTCTTTTATTATTTTTATTTTATGTGTACGTGTGTATTGCCTGCATGTAGGTAAGTGCACCTGTGTGGTGCAATGCCAGCAGAGGTCAGAAGAGCTGTCAGATCCCCGGGACTGGAGTTATGGACAGTTGTTAGCTGCCATGTGGGTGCTTGGATTCGAACTCGAGTCTTCTGCAAGAACAACCAATGTTCTTAACCCCTGAGCCAACTCTCCAGCCCACATACACCATCTCTTATAATTGGGATTGCAGTAGTAGATAACCTAACAGGACACAAACTACAGAAGGAAGAACATAAATGGGAAATTTAAGAAATATTTATGGGCTGGAGAGATGGTTCAGTGGTTAAGAACACTGGTTGTTCTTGCAGAAGACCTGGGTTTGAATCCCAGCACCCATGGGGCAGCTAACAACTGTCTGTAACTCCAGTTCCAGGAGATCTGACAGCCTCTTCTGTCCTTCATGGGCATTGCATGAAATGGTTCACTTACCTACATGCAGGCAACACACTCATACACATAAAATAAAAAATAATAAATAAAATATTTTTAAAAGAATTATTTAGAAATAAAAATAAAATGTCAGAAACTGAAGAGAAATAAATGTACGGCCTCACTAATTTTATATACCAGAATAAAATAGAAGTTTGTTTTAATAGATGAATGTGTATCCTTATAATTACAGACAGTACATTTTTCACCACTCATCAAAGAAACTTCTTTTTTGCAGCAAATGGAGACTATTACAGAGTTCCACAACTGGTCATACAAATAGGATAAGGGCCTGAAAGATGTCCATCACTAATTCATATAAATATACAGTGAAACCTCTACATTTATGGCTCATGGGACATAGTGAAACAGGGGCTCAAGAAAATACTAATGCATTTCTCAACTCTCACTAGCATAGCTTCCACATGCAGCAGAGTAGGATAAACACAGAAGGCCACAACTGGCCAAAGTGTAGAGAATGAGAGACTGTAGAGTTCACGTCCCTCCCTGGATAGGACTCTTATATTAAAATTCACCCACCCATGGCTCAGGCACCATTGTGAAAGAGAGGGCAGAAATATTATAAGAGCCCAAGCCAGAGCATGAATGTAAGTAAGCAGAGTCTTCCAGGACTCTGGAAACTTGCTCATATGAACTTACAGCAATGATATCAGCATGTACAAAACTCATGCAAACTCAATCGGAAAAAACCCCAGCGTATAACTGGGGAAATGGCCAGCAGGCTCCAATCTTAGCCAAAGAATTATTGGCAGCTGATTACTACTGAGTGAGGAAGAATTGATATTATTTAAGGGAGAGACTTGCCAGTGGATGAAATTGTTCTGAGGGATGTCTGGGTTCACAAACTTAACTCAATAGGCTTTAACATATATGACAGAATGCATGAAATCCTGTGTTTTGGGGGGGATATGGAAGTACAGATAAGGGAGGTATAAAGATGATTGAGATGTGTTCTATAAAATGCACAAAAATTTAATAAAAATATACATTGAAAAAAAGAAAGAATATGGTTGGTTACCCCCATATCATTTGTGCCACTATTGCAAGAGTAGACCTATCCTCCCAGGCTATTCAGTGCTGTAGCTCAAAGTGTTCATAGTTGGATAAGACTGTTGATTACTTTTCTCCCTCTATAACTTGCATTAAACCATCTAACACTATGAAAGATAAACAGTAGGGATGAAGCTTCAGTATCAGAACTAGCTTGATTGCTCCATGTGGTATGACTCGAGTTTGTGATATCTTCAGTAATAAGGTCTTGTCATCAATATTTGAAATAAAAAATAACAGCAGTAGATCATGTTGAAAGACCAACTTGGACTGTTTCAGATCAATCTGAAACAAAAGCAAAGAATTAGCTTCTTTGCTTCTATTATGGCTGGAAGACCACATTGTGTTGGCTGGGCATGTAGAACTAAAAGCCATTAAACCCAATATCCATTAATCCCTTAAAGCTCTAGATACATTTACATTCCAGTGCATAACTTATTCAATGTCCCTTGTGAACCTACAAGAAAGAATATTATTAAAATTGCTATACCCTACAGCACTCATTGAAGAAGCTTCTCTTTACAAAAGGTGGAGGCTATTGCAGAATTCAGTAACTGATCACACACAGGAAATATATGTTTGAGAGATGCCCAGCCCTGGATGACTTTTCTACAGTGGAACCTCTACACCTAAGGCTCACAGAACATAGTGGAACTGGGATAGAGTGAAAACTCGTGCATCCTTCAAGTCTTACCAATGAAGCTTCCTTATATAACAGAGTGTGTTATATTAAACCTATGTTAAACCTCCCCTACCCATAACTCAGGGACCATTGCAGAAGAAGGGGGGTCAGAAATATTATAAGAGCCATGACTGGTCCATTAACATAGGTTTGGCAGAGGCTTTCTGGCCACTGGAAGTTTGCACATGTGAACTTGTGACAATGGAGGCATCAAGCACAGGACCCATGCCAAATCAATCAGACAAGGGCCCAGAGTGGAATGAGGGACATAGGCAGTGGGGAGGCCTTACTTGGGAACTGCCAGAGGCTGATTGCTGCTGGGAGAGGGAGAATGGACCTTACTTACAACATCTACATGGGCTGACTAGACTATAGTGGACGAATCTGCACCAAAGATTGAATCTGGATACAAATGCATGACTGGCTAGGTCTTAGCATGTATGGTAGAATGCTTGAGGTCTTGTGTGGGGAGGTGTCTGGGTAGGCAGGGGTTGGAGAGGATGTTGAAACATGATTAAGAACTGTTGTATAAAATGTACAAAGCTCAATAAATTAAAATATATATACTGGTGTGTAACCTCCACAACATTAAATAAAAAGAGAGCAAGAAAGTTGGTTTCATTTTCCCATTCTATTTTTTCAAAATTTCTATTTATTTTCTTTCGAACACTTTTTAAATTTATTTGTAATAGAATTCTAAGATGGTATGTTTCTATGTGTATTTTTCATCTACCCTTCATTTTTTAATTGTCCCTTCATCCCATGTCTTCTCCACCCTCCATCCATCCAGCTCCCTGTTTGAACAATTTCACCTTAAGTATTCCTGGTCTCTACTATTATGTCTCAATATTCTGCAACCCTCCTTATTTAAAGTTACCTCCCAACACCCAAATATCCCCTTACTAGTTTCCTGGCTTCTACAGGTATACCAGGTTAAACACAAAAGATTTAACATTAGAACTCACATATGAGAGAGATCACCGTGCATTTCTCTACCTTGGTATGGGTTACCTCAATCAAGTATAAGTTTTCCAGTCACACAAATGTACTTGCAAATTTAATAACTTCATTTTTTGTAGCTGAATAAAACTCCATTGTTTACATGTACTACTTTTTTTTTTTTTACTATCCATTCATCCAGTACCGGACTTCTACAGTGATTCCATTTCCTAGCTGTTATGAATGTAGCAGCAATGAACATGAGCAAGCAGGTGTCTCTATAGCATGATATAGAATCATTTCAGTACAGGATCAGAAATGACATACCCGGGTCATATGGTAGCTTTAGAGAAACCTCTAGGCTTATTTCCAAAATAGATTCACCTGTTTACCCTCTGACTAACACTGTGCAAGCCACTATTTGATTTCATTTGTGGTTTTATGAAGACAATTTTGACTAGAGTTGTAACAGTTAAAAAATTCATAAAATTAAGCATGTATATGGGATATCATACAGTAGTTTGACACATGTACATATTGTAGCACATACACCAAGCATATGGATCACTATAAATGTTGAGATATTTTAGAACATGCTTAATAACAATGATAAAAAATGGTTTATTTTGCCTCTTTGATTTTATTATTCCCAACAAAGGAGCATAAGTCCTCAATTTTCTCTGTCTCTGTCTCTCTGTTCCCCACCCCCCGTCTCTCTCACAACAAGATCTAACAAAGGTATCTGTCGGAGGATCCATTGAGGCTGATGCTTAGAAAGAGAAATGGGAACCTTATGCAAATTTCTACCAGGTGGACTTTAGACTAAATTCTCTTGGGCAATTTAATATTTACAAAGATTTCTTTGTATAAAACTGTGCACATCTAAAGAAGGCTCTCTCATTGATATCTGAACCATCCATTTAAAATTAATTTTCCTGGCATTTGGTCTGGTACAGACCTAAAAGCTGAAGAGTTGTGATCAGTTAGTAATGTCCTTTAGACTTTCTTGAGTAAGAGATACATTGGAAAATAGAGATAAACTTTTAACAACAGAATATAATTTTATGCAGTGTGAATTGTATCCTGTAAAATACCCCATGAAGAGAAGACTTGCAGAAAGGATAGAGACATTCCAAGATGTCACTAGCAAAAACCACCTCTTAGTGTATTACTTTCACAAGTAGAATTTCCTTCACAGCCATCCATTTAAAATTAATTTTCCTGGCATTTGGTCTGGTACAGACCTAAAAGCTGAAGAGTTGTGATCAGTTAGTAATGTCCTTTAGACTTTCTTGAGTAAGCAGATACATTGGAAAATAGAGATAAACTTTTAACAACAGAATATAATTTTATGCAGTGTGAATTGTATCCTGTAAAATACCCCATGAAGAGAAGACTTGCAGAAAGGAAAGAGACATTCCAAGATGTCACTAGCAAAAACCACCTCTTAGTGTCTTACTTTCACAAGTAGAATTTCCTTCACAGCAGAAACTTTCTGTAATTGTGGAGGAATTACGTTTAGAAGACAGCTGGCACAACTACCTAAAAAGCAGATTGTGTTGGCAACAACCACTTTCCCAGGACTCTCCTCAAAGCCCCAATAACCTCCCTATTCCTCAGGCTGTAGATGAGGGGATTCAGAGCAGGGGTGACAATTGTGTAGAAAAAAGAGAGGATATTGTCTTGCTTCGGACTGTGGAAGGAACTGGGTAGAATGTACATGACCATTAGAGCCCCATAGTACAACCCAACCACTGTTAGGTGGGAAGAGCAAGTGACAAGGGCTTTCTTCCTGCCCTCATTTGAGGGCATGCGGAGCACAGTGAACAGAATTAATGTATAGGAGGCCAGGATGGCAGCAACAGGGGGAATTAGGAAGGTCACACCCATCACATAAACCATGAGTTCATATCTAGAGGTGTCTGCACAGGCCATTTTCAGCAAGGGAGTGAGCTCACAGAATAGGTCTAGGATCTCCCTGGATTTGCAAAAGGGATATTGCATGGTATAGGTAGTATATCCTAAAGCACTTAGAAATCCCAAGATCCATGATGTGGCTATCCCAAGCCAGCAGATGCTTGGCCTCATGAAGATCATGTAGTTCAGAGGATGACAAATGGCCACATACCTGTCATAGGACATGAAAGCCAAAAGGAGGTCCTCTGCACCACCCAGTGTTAGTGTCAGAAACATCTGAAGGGCACATTCCCCAAAGGAAATGGTGTTATCTCTCAGCAGAAAATCCATGACAGCTTTGGGAACAACAACTGATGTGAGGAAGAAGTCAATGAGAGAAAGTTGTCCAAGCAGCAGGTACATGGGCACATGGAGTTGGACATCCATTGTGATGACCAGGAGCAGCAGTCCATTGCTGGTTAGGGCCAAGAAGTAAAGGGCTGTGATTGTGGCACAGAGCAGTTCAGGAGAGCCACTGTCATCCAGAATCCCCACCAAGATGAAGCCGTTTCTCAAGGTGGAGTTCCAGAATTCCATTCTGTGTGGTCTTTTCAGATGCCCAGAAACCGATGGCCCAGTTTAGTTTTGGCAACATAGAACCTATATTTGTAACATCAGAGATACCTTAGGATCCCTAAAATGCTTCCAGTAAGATCATATTTTCCCCTCTGGTTTCCAAATTTCTATGTGTCTATTTTCAAAGATCTGGCTTAGTGTAGCACATATAACACAATAGTGACTAACAGTTTGTTGATGTGACCTCATGAAAATACTCAACATAGTAAACCTGAGGTTTTTGTTCTTCTAGAAGAACTAAATTATCTCTGTTTTAAGGTCAATCACCTAACCCACTATACCTTTTGTGCAAATTTAATTAACAGCTTTAATATCCCAGATAGTTTCCTGCATAGACTTGCTTTGATTATGAAATTCTCAAATGATACAAAGGCATGATTTGAATAAATTACTTCCATTTCACTTCCCAAATTTTCTTTTTTGTTAGTGTATTCCAAGAGAAGGTCTTTCTAGATAGCACAGTGTGACTAAAATTAATCTATTGCTTCAGTCTCCTAGGTGCTGGGATTTTAGGCACTGATCTGTCCTCCTTATTTTCTACTTTTCATTAGCTCATGTTTGTTTGCAGCAAATCTCATTGGACTAGAACAAGGTTTTCATATTAGTTACCTCTGTGGTCAAGCCCAACATTGTTCAATGAGCTTAAGAGAAGATTACTGATAGTCTAACACTAAGCAAAATTGTGTTGGAAAAGTATTGCTTTGAGAGGCAAAAGGCCGAGAGGCTACACATTTCATTAACAGATACAAATTCCTTACCTCAGGTGGTTAGAAAATAGGATGCCTGACCAACTTGGCTTACCTTAGGCTACTTGAAGATTGAGGCTTTTCTAGTATGTGCAAGATGGCAGCTGCAGTTTTCTTTATCAGTGTTCAATTTGTTTATGTTTTGCTAAGTTGATGAACTATGTCAGGAATGCTTCCAATGTCAGACATCAGGGCTGTTCTGTTCCTTATCTCATCTGCAGTTGTTGTCTGGAAACAGCCAGGGAAACAGTCTTTGTTCCGTGTCTAATGGAGTAAAAATGTCTTTCAGTTTCTAAAATCTGAGAAGGGTTAACAGCAAATGCTTCAGTTCAACAGCTTACTTGGAGGGAGTCCTAGCTTGCTATCAGGTTTTAGACTTCTTGGGTGCAGATGCTCTTGTTACTTTATCCCTGCTGCCACGTGGGAGCCAAGATGAAAGTTGTAGAAAGTAAGTAGATATTAGATCAGATGCCCAATGGGTCCTGTTGTGCCCCATCTAAATGTCCCTGGGGCCAGGATTAAACCAAAGCCTTTACCAGGACAACAGCAATTTGTCCTCTAAACCTATCTATGACCTTCTCTCTTCTTTCTCCTATGTATACCTTCAGATGGACTTGTCTCTCATCTCAAATGGACTCCCAGAAAATTTTAGTCTAGGAAAAAGAAAGCTAATGAATCCATCCGGGTGTGCTTCCTGGCTTGCTTGAGTTCTTCTGTCACTAAATGAGCTCTGAGGCCCTCCTGGGTTTTTCTCTCTCTTGAAAGCAGGTTCCAACTTCCTTAGCCTCCCAATTGCCAAGGTTATAGAAAAACACACCCTGACCACACCTGACTTTCTTCAGTTTCTATGTAACTGTAAAGGAAATACTGATGATCTGTTTAAAAATTTCTAGCTAAACAGAACTGCATGGTTTCTGTTGACTTGAGTCTTCTGTTCTAGAGGATGAGATGGGTTTCCCAGCTTTGTAGGTGCTGCTTCCTTTATTTCTGTCCTTCTTAAGCTAGACTATTTGCAACTGACCAAGGTTGTTCTGCATACCCTGTAGATGTGAGATCTTCTTTTCATTGATTGTGGCAGTCCAGTGCAAGTTTGTATATGGTCTCATGCCTTAATACCATCAGTGATGATTAACATAAAAGCTCAATTTTCCAAGTATTAGGCAGTAAAGTGAAAAGACATTTTATATAGTATTACAGATGTAGAGGTTTTATATTAAAACCTTTTATAATACTCTTAGAGATAAAAGATAGGGTACCCACCATGTAAATACACTTAAATGACAATGACCTATTAATGGAAGTAATAGGACAAAGAAGAGATTTGTTTATAAATGCTGAGTCGGTAAAACTGCATATCTAGACTGTGCACATCTGAGCTCTCATCAATTAATGAAGATAAATTAAAAAGTAAAAGAATTTGCCTCCAACAACTCTAAATAAATTAAGTCAGAAGAAAAGTTATAGCAAGGGACTAGATCATATATGGGAGATCATACTGAGCACAAAATGTGATTCAGAAAGTGAATTGGTAAGTGTAGTTCTTGAAATACGTATTTGTAAGTATGAAACATGGAGTAAAGCACAATTTAAAAAGGCCAAATCATTTTTTCAATATTTTCTTTCTTTTTATTATATGTGTATGAGTGTGTTGTCTATATGCTTGTAAGCATGTAGACACGCATGTCATGCAATGCCTGCAGAAGTCAAAAGAGAGCATCAGATCCCCTGGAACTGGAGTTACAGATGTTTGTTAGCCACCACGTATGTACTGGTAACTGAACCCAGGTCCTCTCAACAACAACCAGTGCTCTTAAACACTGAGTCATCTCTCCAGCCCCCAAAACATTTTTAGTTCAAAGCTCCACCAATTTTGACAAACAAATCTAATCATATTATAAACATCAACCTTAAAATGATTCACAAATTTTGTTGAAATTATAGTGCTCTTGTGTACTATATTAACAAAATTTGTACTTTTAATTTAAAAAATTAAGTATATAAAATGAAATACAGTCATATTCACCTTTAATTTCTCCTCTCCTCTTTCCATGGATCCCACCCAACATATATACCAAAAAGAAAGGAACCTCTCTGAAATGAACCCAGATATATGAGTATACATGTAAATACTTTGAAAGAAATCTGACAATACAATTATTTTTTTTCAAAATAACAACAGTGGACAGAACCTCTCCAGTTGTACTTTACATCAAGGTTAGAGTACCAAGTATGAATTCCTCCTGAGAATCAGGACTCAAAGACAACCACAGAGTGGTTGGTTACCCACTACTAGCCATGCCACTAGTGCACTAGTGGCTGTATAAATGACTTTTCTTGAAATGCTTTTGTCTTACCTAATCTTGTAAACAAAGTTAATTTTGTGTTTTGAGCTCATTTAATATTATCTATTCAATATGGCTTCCCACTGTGCAATCAGCATTCACACTTAGCTGGTCTTTAGGAAATCAATGTAAGCAATCTTACCAGGCTTTGAACTCCTCTTGTAATCAACTTTTACAAGCTAAATCAATCACATAGCTTTAATCTTAAACTATATTCTATGTTTCTCTTTTATGAACCTTCCTTGCAACTACCAAAGAATAATTTGTGTGTGTGTGTGTGTGTGTGTGTGTGTGTGGTGTATAAGTTACAAAATACCATTCCTGAAACCATAAACCTTGGAAGGACACTGAAATCAATGAATGGATTATCCACAGTGGATATTGTTGAATGTGGCAGTGCAGCATCAAATAAAGAATAACTCCTGGATTCATTTAAACCCAAAGTGGGCCCAATCTGTTTTGAAGCGATGTGTCCTGATTTCTTTCAGAAACATCTCCCTTGAACAAAGAACATACTCTATTTATTGAATAACAAACTCAAGCATGTTGTGGGAAAGAAATGAGATACATTACCTTACCAGAAAAAGATTTTTCCTTTATTGAGCCTTATTGACTCAAAACAGCATATGAAATCACAAGCAGATATTATCAACATAAAACAACATGTTGCTAGTGTTCACAGAGTAAATAGATAGGTGTCAATTTAGCTTTATAGGACATATGTTTCTTACAAAAAGAGTATGCAGAGTCCTTTATTCCATGTCTTTACTATTTAGAAAACTAGAGAAACATAATTGCACTGTGAATTTCATAATTCACATATGTGGTTAATTATCCAATATAATATTTTTCTGAAGATTTATCTGATAAAAGATTTGTCAGACTGCTAGATTTAGTAAGTATTCTAGTTTGCTTTCTGTTGCTGTGATAAAACACTGATCAAAAATTACTTTGGAAGGAAAGGGTTATTTCATCTTACACTTCTAAAGCACAGTCCATCTTTAAGTGATATTACTCAGAAACTCAAGATAGGAATCGGAAGGAAGGAGCTGAAGCAGAGATCATGGTGGAACTCTATTTGCTGGCTTGCTTTTGCCTGGCTTGCTCAGCTACTTTCTTTATACAGCCCAGAACCACTTGCCTGGTAGTGGCCCTGCACATAGTGGCCTAGGCCTTCCATATCATTCAACAATCAAGAAAATGCTCTATAGACATGCTCCCATGCCTATCTGATGGAAGAAATTCCTCAGTTGAGTTTCCATCCTCCCAGGTGCCTCCAGCCTGTGTTAAGTTGACCAAAACCAAACAAAACAGCAAACAATTAATCTAAAGGACATTCTGAAGGTACTCTATTTTGGGTGTACCTTTCCCTTTTTTGTTATTCTTTGAATTTTTTAATGTATTTTTACAACATGTCTTTTTAAATTTTTGTTTTTGAGAATATCATACATAAATATTGCCTTTGCACTATTTCCATTCTTCCCACACTTTCACCAACTTTCCCACGTCCCCCAACTCCCTCTTAATTTTTTGTCCTCTGATTTGACTTTTATGGTCAATCATAGATAAGTTTACAAATATACATATACAGTGGAATGAGTGCATTGAGTGGCGCTCCTGTGTACCTGTGTTTAGGGCTGTCATTTTGAGATGATAACCTCTCAGGGAGCCAGTCCCTGGAAAAAAAATTGTTCTTCATCCCTCAGCATCCAATGACTGCCTGCAGTTATTCCTCTTGAAGTGGGACCATGTGACATTAACCCCATCCACCTTGACATGTCAAGTGTTTTTTTTTTTTAGTCAGATCTTCTTACACTACCATACTGTGGAAATTTTATTGGTGCAGCTTCCCCATCATGTCTAGAACACATTA